ACGGTTACCACTTATCATCAGACGAGAAGTTAAAAAGAATGTTTAGTAAAGCTAATTCTATGCTTAATATAAATCAGCAAAGTGCGAGGAATCATAAGTTCAAGCAACGGTGTGCGCCTGGAACAGTTGTTTATAGGTCAGGTCGGAGGAATAGGCGGCGGAGCGTGTGTGCTGCGCCAGCACCAGCTCGCAGTTACACGTAACGGTCGCGGATTCCATTGAAAGAGCAGGCGTCGTGAACAATGAGGCGCGGACTCGCCGGCTCACGTTGCAGCGTACAACTGCTGACCGCGCCGTGTCGATGCCCTTCGCTGCTAACATTCGCATATTTCTACTCCATACAATGTGTCAACAGTCTTTCAAGTAGCCAATGAAGCTTGAATGAATGGAAACGTAAAACAATATCTGTTTATTTATATTCCGTTTCAGTATTTGTTATAAAAAAATACAGTTTTGCGTTTGGGATCATTATCGTATTCTCGTCATCTCTTGTGATTGTTTACTATCACAAATCCTCTGCTATCATCCGAATCACATACATATTTATTATAGGTTATAAACTTTTTGATTAAAACCTTAACTTGGAAATGAACGATAAATAATTATTAATTTACTTTTTATTGCATAACTTAAAGAATAATATAAATAAAAATCGGTAAAAAAACTTTTAAGTTAAACGGTTTTATTTTATGTGCACTGAAAACTACAAAATAAATAAATAGTTACTTACCTATCAACCTACGTAGGTGATCTCGGTCATTAATATCTCTGATGGTAGTGGTTGTCATAACATGAACCATGTCAGCGGCCGAAAGGCAGTTCATGAGAGAACACTAACACCAGGGTTTGCTTGGTAGGTAAACTAAGCAGCCCACACTATAACAAGTAGGTATTTTGACCTTCTAGTTCAGAAATATTTTAGTACTAGGCAGAATAGCTTTTAGGCATATTAGACTAAAATAAAAACGTGGGGCCCATTAACTATATCTGTATTACTTTCTACTATACTAAGTGTGGATTGCATCGACTTATTATAATCGTCATCATCATCATCCTAGCGGTTTATCCCGGTCGCATCCGAAACCTCATAGCTCCGGAGTCCAGGGTCCGCTGAATCGACTTACTATAATCGTAACTGAAGGTTTTGACCATCAATAACCAGCCGTTACGGCTTCACCAGCGAACGCCGAGCTCATGATCTACCAAAGTATAAGATATGCTCTGCTATAGGTATGATTTCAGAGGGGCCCCACGTTTTTATTTTAGTCTAATATGCCTAAAAGCTATTCTGCCTAGTACTAAAATATTTCTGAACTAGAAGGTCAAAATACCTACTTGTTATAATGTGGGCTGCTTAGTTTACCTACCAAGCAAACCCTGGTGTTAGTGTTCTCTCATGAACTGCCTTTCGGCCGCTGACATGGTTCATGTTATGACAACCACTACCATCAGAGATATTAATGACCGAGATCACCTACGTAGGTTGATAGGTAAGTAACTATTTATTTATTTTGTAGTTTTCAGTGCACATAAAATAAAACCGTTTAACTTAAAAGTTTTTTTACCGATTTTTATTTTCTTGTTTTTAGTATTTAGTGAAATTGTTTACCGAATATTCCTCATTCTATTTAATTCATTCAGTGCATTATTATTACATGGTTTCTTACCTGATAATTTAGTACAATCTAATTCCTCAATACATAGCCCTTCCAGAGATTTGACTCGACTTAGAGCCACGTATGCTTGTCCTTCCTCAAACCATTTTGAGCCCAAATATACTACTGCATGGTCGACGGTGCTGCCCTGCATTTTATGGACGGTGAATGCTCATGACAAAACTAAGGGCAACATCCGTTTTTCAGCCGTACCATTATTGAATTTTGCTGGAAACTGTATGGCTTTAGGGTAAATAACGTGCATGCCGTCTGTGCCAAAGTCAATTAAACCTGATGATATATCTGTTTCGTACATTTGGGTTCGACGGAACTGAGGCCAAAAAGGTGTCTGAGTGTCAAGTGTCTGAGAGTCTAGTGTCTGAGTGTCTTGTATCCGAGTGTCCAGTGTCTGAGTGTCTAGTGTCTAGTGTCTAGTATCTGAGTGTCGAGTGTCGAGTGTCTAGTGTCTGAGTGTCAAGTGTCTGAGAGTCTAGTGTCTGAGTGTCTTGTATCCGAGTGTCAAGTGTCTGAGTGTCTAGTGTCTGGGTGTCTGAGTGTCTAGTGTCTAAGTGTCGAGTGTCGAGTGTCAAGTGTCGAGTGTCTAGTGTCTGAGTGTCTAACGTCTGGGTGTCTGAGTGTCAAGTGTCTGAGAGTCTAGTGTCTGAGTGTCTTGTATCCGAGTGTCTAGTGTCTGAGTGTCTAGTATCTGGGTGTCTGAGTGTCTAGTGTCTAAGTGTCGAGTGTCGAGTGTCGAGTGTCGAGTGTCGAGTTTCGAGTGTCTAGTGTCTGAGTGTCTAGTGTCTGAGTGTCTAGTGTCTGAGTGTCTAGTGTCTGGGTGTCTGAGTGTCAAGTGTCTGAGAGTCTAGTGTCTGAGTGTCTTGTATCCTAGTGTCTGAGTGTCTTGTATCCGAGTGTCGGAGTGTCTAGTGTCTAGTGTTTAGTATTTGAGTGTCGAGGGTCGAGTGTCGAGTGTCGAGTGTCTAGTGTCTGAGTGTCTGAGTGTCTAGTATCTAGTGTCTAGTGTCTGAGTGTCGAGTGTCGAGTGTCGAGTGTCGGGTGTCGAGTGTCGAGTGTCGAGTGTCGTCGAGTGTCGAGTGTCTGAGTGTCTAGTGTCTGGTGTTTAGTGTCTGAGTGTCGAGTGTCGAGTGTCAGAGTGTCTAGTGTCTGGGTGTCTGAGTGTCAAGTGTCTGAGAGTCTAGTGTCTGAGTGTCTGAGTGTCTTGTATCCGAGTGTCCAGTGTCTGAGTGTCTAGTGTCTGGATGTCTGAGTGTCTAGTGTTTAGTGTTTAGTGTTTAGTGTCTGAGTGTCGAGTGTCGAGTTTCGAGTGTCTAGTGTCTGAGTGTCTAGTGTCTGAGTGTCTAGTGTCTGAGTGTCTAGTGTCTGGGTGTCTGAGTGTCAAGTGTCTGAGAGTCTAGTGTCTGAGTGTCTTGTATCCGAGTGTCGGAGTGTCTGGTGTTTAGTATTTGAGTGTCGAGTGTCGAGTGTCGAGTGTCTAGTGTCTAGTGTCTGAGTGTCTAGTGTCTAGTATTTAGTGTCTGAGTGTCGAGTGTCGAGTGTCGAGTGTCGGGTGTCGGGTGTCGAGTGTCGAGTGTCGAGTGTCGTGTGTCGTCGAGTGTCGAGTGTCTGAGTGTCTAGTGTCTGGTGTTTAGTGTCTGAGTGTCGAGTGTCGAGTGTCAGAGTGTCTAGTGTCTGGGTGTCTGAGTGTCAAGTGTCTGAGAGTCTAGTGTCTGAGTGTCTTGTATCCGAGTGTCCAGTGTCTGAGTGTCTAGTGTCTGGATGTCTGAGTGTCTAGTGTCTAGTGTTTAGTGTTTAGTGTCTGAGTGTCGAGTGTCGAGTGTCGAGTGTCGAGTGTCGAGTGTCTAGTGTCGAGTGTCTAGTGTCTAGTGTCGAGTGTCTAGTGTCTAGTGTCTGAGTGTCGAGTGTCTGAGTGTCTTGTGTCTGGTGTTTAGTGTCTGAGTGTCGAGTGTCGAGTGTCTAGTGTCTGAGTGTCTAGTGTCCGAGTGTCTAGTGTCTGAGTGTCTTGTATCCGAGTGTCTAGTGTCTGTGTGTCTAGGGACTGAGTGTCTGAGTGTCTAGTGTCTGAGGGTCTAGCGTCTGAGTGTCTAGTGTCCGAGTGTCTAGTGTCTGGGTGTCTCAGTGTAGTCCTATTATTTGATACCCATATTGTGGTGGTTGTGGAAAAATATGTACCTAGTCCGCCATATTGGAACGGCGTCCATCTTGAATTTTAAATTTTGACATAATCATCGTGTTTTACTAGTGTAGCCCTTTCATTTGATACCCATATTGCGGGGGTTAAGGAAAAATATGTAATCCGCCATTTTGTATCGGCGGCCATCTTAGATTTATAATGTTATTGATTTTATTATATTGTATTGTCATCTAAAGTAAATGTGTGTACCAAATTTCAGATCAATCTGACAACGGGAAGGTGCTTAAATTCCAATTTCTAATTTTGACCCAAATAAATAAATACCGTACAGGTCGAGCTAAATAAAACCGTTTAAAAATAAAACGTACAATTTGTAAGTTGACATCTGACCATTTTGGGCGTACTGTATCTTGGTGTTCACCACATGTTTATGGTGTTGTTCATGTTTAATGAGTGACGATTATTATTTTCTGTTACATTCAGTTTAGTGTGACACATATATATGGCATACATTAAATAATCAATTTTTACAATTAACGTATATTATAGTGGTGATATACAGCAAGTGGGACTTCTGTCTAACATTAATAAACATTTTTGGTCTTTTTGAAAATTTGTTTGTTGTTGAAATTGAAAGCATAGTTGAAAGATCCAGCGAAATTCGGTAGGAGCCACTTGTCGAAAATGACCCTTATGTACTTGCTTAAAATTAATTTAATCAATGTTGGGTCGATAGAAGATGGCCAAGTTTATTTTAAATACTATTTTCATTTAAAATGTAAACAGATGCTGATTTAGGAATGTTAATTATTAATGAATTGCCTCGAGTTACAATTAGCGTGGTAGCGAGTCGCGGCGTGCGCCGGGACGTGCCGCGCCGCGACGCGCCCTCACGTGTCGCCGTTCATAATGAATACTGCAACGCAGCGCTTTATAGCAATCAATGAATCACAGTCACTGCCAAGGCTACGAAGTCCGACATTCGTTTTGCACACGAAGCGATACTCTTTGTCTGCTCCATTCAATGTAAAGGTGACACATTAGCTGTTGCATTGTGTCGTTACCAAGTGCGTACCTCGTACGGACAATCGGTAGTGTGGACGCTCGGCAGGCGTGTAGCGTGGCGATATGCTAGTCGCGGAGTCCTCGCGAGTGACGAGCCGATGAGCTAACGAGCGATGTGTTGCGCGCAGTCGAGATGGCGGAGTTGTTCACGGAGGGGCGTGAGTGCGTGAACTGCGGGGCGATTCACACGCCGCTGTGGCGGCGCGACGGCACCGGCCACTACCTGTGCAACGCGTGCGGCCTCTACAACAAGATGAACGGCATGAACCGGCCGCTGAAGCAGCCGCGGCGGCTGGTACGTCAGCGGCACGCCGCGCACGCGCTCTCCGCGCCCGCCCACGACGTACGCAGCCCGCTCGCTCTCCGCTCGCCGTCCGCTCGCCGTCCGCTCGCCTTCCGCTCGCCGTCCGCTCGCCGTCCGCTCCCGTCCCCCCCGGTAGCAATCCGCGCCCGCCGAGCGTCCGCCTCCGCCGAGCAGGCGTCAGTGACAGTTGTGTTGGTTGCAGTGGCCGCGGAGGGGGCCCCGCCGGGCGCGGATTTCTACAAGGGCTTCCTGCTTAACGGCCTCGCGCCGCCGCACGCGCCGCCCGCGCCGCTCGGGCCGCCCGGGCCGCCCGCGCTCGCGCACCAGCCCTCCACCCCCTCTGACTACAAACAGAAGAAAGGGGTACGTCCCCTCCCCCGCCCACTCCCGCGCATCATTCTAACAGTCATCGCTTCTACTTCACCGATACTAACTTAGTTTGTAGAAACCTGAAATCAGTGCATGCGAGGACGATCATCTGAGTAACATTCATAAAGAATATCTAATAGTACTTGCATGGAAATAGTAATACCATAAGAATAAATATTCAGGAAAAAATTACATTCCCTTAATTTCAGAAGTACTCGTAGTATTCGTTATGGCAACCCTCCGAGGGTTGCCACAATCTATATTATCTGCAGAATTAAAAGAGAAGAAGAGTACATTATGGCGGCGTCACCGCATTCACAAAATAAAATTTAATACTGTCACTTCTGTCCAGTCTATTTATTCTTATGCTAATACACTTAGTTCGTAGTAGAGTTTATGCGACTTGCCGTGAGAGCCCATACACTCACATAATGGAACTTAATGAAGCTACTAATCAGTTGTCAGAGATGTACATGTTCATGTCTATAAGTACGTTTAACTAGCAATACCTTTTAACTAACATTTATAAAAAAGTTATAAACATTTTTTCTAATTTACATATTTTCATTTCTAATTCAATATTTTGAAAATTTGCCGTATAGTCTCAGCATAGAATGGGCCCTTCCCTTCCCGTGGGTGTCGTAAGAGGCAACTAAAAAAATGGTTGAAAGATTGGCAACAGCGTCCCTTTTAAAACTTTACCAAAGCTTAACTATAGTACCCGCTTGCCAAGCGTGGCAACTACTGGAAACCTCCCCCCTTATAGAGGAGGCCTATGTTTAGCAGTGGACAGTGACGGGTGATGTGATAATGATGAAACTGATAATTTATCTAAAATCAACTACTTTTTGGTTTCATCGTATTTGGAACAAATTCATACAATAGGAAGATTTCCTTATCTCCTGTAAAATTGTATCCATGTTTGGTAATAGATTTGATATACAGTCGATTAAGCGAGGTGTGCATTTTGCATTGTATCATATTTATAATGGAATGTCCTTAATGTAACTGTCTAAGCACTACGTGTATCTATGAGTGTACACATGGCACAGCGTGTAACAGCGCGCTCTGGCTACAGATGGGTTCTAAACGGCCGGGGATGTCGTGCAGCAACTGTCACACGACCACCACGTCGCTGTGGCGGCGCAACGCTCACGGCGAGACGGTCTGCAACGCCTGTGGCCTCTACTACAAGCTGCACAGCATTAACCGGCCTATAGCCATGAAGAAGGATTCTATACAGGTAAGCCTCGATACAGTGCCGACGCCAAATGTGAGGCAATATGTCGGTACTATACGACAATAGGTGATACAGGAAGGACACCAGTAGGAAGCCCATGTTCATTAGTGGAAGCCATACATATAATTGGAATAATGTATGTACCTAATATTATAATTTGTGTCAATTTTGCTGCGGTGTAATGAGTGATCGCATGCGATTTCCAACTTCCATGGGATAGTGTTAAGCGTGGATGATATAGGCACTGATAAGTATTGATACTATTGCTCGTGTGTCTTCTGGCAAGTGTCACCCTCTAGTGTCAAGAGCTTCCAAGTAGCCTCTAATGGTTCTACATAGTCTAAAGATATTTTTTAAACAATCCAAACACGAATCGAAAAATTCAGATGTTTAAGCTAAAATTCGATCTGGGGATCTCCACACTGCAGTCCAGTACTGCTGCTGTCCAGCTGAATTATTGCCGTTCATACTACATACAGGGTATGTCCATATTTTCAGACGCGGAAACGAAAACCAAAGAACACAATGAAATCAGAGAGAAATTCCAAAAATGCAGCCCTCATACGCAAAATGGAAAATTTAGGTGAGTTTAATATTAGATTTTGGAGAAACGTCTTTAGATTATTAAAGATTATTCGTGTAAAGTGTAAGTCGTGAAGAGATTTACATCCTCATCATAGTTAAGCCAAGTTAGCGAGAATGTTGAGAGTGCGTCCACCGTAATGTCGACAGACGACAGTCGTTTTTGACTACTCTACTAAGAGTTATACTTGTAACCACTCTTTCCCCAATTATTCACGTGACAAATTTTAGGGTGTAACAAGTACTTAATTATGTATTTACAGTGGACGTCCACCACGTAGGCGCGGGTGTAGGCGTGGGCGCGGAGGCGGCCGCGGGCGGGCCGCGGTCGCCGCTCGCCATGAACTACTACGTGCAGCAGGCGCTCAAGCTGGACGAGCCGCCGCCGGCGCACTCGCACCCCGCGCTCTACGACGACGCCGACTACCGGCGCGCCGCCGCCGCCGCCGCCGTCGCCGCCGCCGAGCCCGCCGAGCGCCTCGACCGGCCCACGGTCGTGTCCATGGGCAGTTGAGTGGCCGCCGCCCGCCGCCGTCTCCGAGCTGCGCAGCCGGCGCGCGGCCCTCCTAGTAGAATCTCAGTCGGTTAAGTTTTTTTAGTTTAATAAAGTCGAGTCCGACGATCAGTCGTTGCTAGTTGACCAAATCGCGGGAGGGCGCGCCGCGGGCGGCCGCGACGTGCAGGGCGCGGCTGCCGAGCACCTCGCGGCTCGTATCTCCCGGCGAGTCTATTTATCGTAATGTTACTGTAGTTGTATGTGTCGATGCACAGTGCACGCAATGAGTTCGAGCTCTGCTACTGTATTGCCCGCGACGCGGTGGTGCTCTCGATCTTCAACGTTGTCGGTTTATCATCGCGATGTACGCGCGTGATTGCGCACAATAAAATAATCTGTTACCAAATGTTTTATATCTCGATAAACTATAAGACTGTACTGTACCATTCCTAGCGTGTTGCGTTCCTAGCATAACGAATATTATCTAGTTGTGTAATGTAGTCGTCACTTAGTGTGTAAGATGTGCCGACGAGGCTCCATGACCAGCTTTACGCTGTTTTTTTTTTCTATTTAAGAGAATGCATCAATTAGTCGTCCCGAAGTAATTCATGCATTCTCTTCCAGCCAGCTCTCTTCCAGATCATATCTTTGACCTTCCTATACGACATGACGTCTAATGTATCTATTATCTTTTCTATGTAGTTATTTCTCGATCTTCTTCTTCTCTATTTTGCCTCTTCTATTCTCTACTATTTTCCTTGTTTATTCTCATTCACCCTTTTCAACACTTCTTCCTTCGTCACTATTTCTGTCCAACTTATCTTTTCCATGCTTCTTCTTATCGACATTTCGGATGCCTCAAGCATCGTTCTTTCCTTTTGCGTCATTGTTCATTTTCCATACCTATACAATGCTATGGTCCAAATGTAATGTTATTTACATATTATTAGCAAATAATTCTAGTGGTTATTTTAATAAATTTATTAGACATTCTAATTTTACTCCATGACTTCAAAATACATTCCACGAATTTAGTAGATGTAGCACTCTGTGGTGTTTCTTGTGTGGACACAATCCTCCTGTAGACAGCGGGCTCGATTCTAGTCTAGTTCATTTTCAAACTTATCTCCAAAATTTATTAACTTAAGAGGAAGCATATCATTTCAGTAAGATCTAACAGTAGTTGCTAACAGATTTGCAATATAATTAATAATTAGTTTATGGCGGCCGATAAAACAATATTTCGCGAAACCATTAAAATTGAAAAAGTAGGTAGTAGTAGAAACAGACAAAAGGGGTATCGGATCAACTCCAGTGTTGCCATATTTCAAAATGTATTTTTTTTTTTTATTTTTACTTTTCTCTAATAATTTTAGAGATGAGAGAGAACGAACAACACAGAATCAGTCTCATTCAGCTCAAATGATCCTTAATTGTAATATCGAGGAGCGCAATTACAACGACTATTGTTAGCTACTAACCTCTGGTGTGGTTGGCAAAATCTTGTTCAATACAAACGCTGCATTTGGATACAGGTATTGTATGCCACTGCACGTGTTTAGTACTAACGTTAGGCAATTATGTGCAGTTAATCAACTTGCCGTATATTAGGAGTGCATGATTTGTGAATGGATATTGTATTATGTGCGAGATCACAGGGTAATCATGTGTCAATATGTCGGATTAGTTTTTTTTTTTTCCTATGTATCTTTAACAACTTATTCAGTACATTATTTGTATTTTGATTATTTATAAATTATGATAATATGTTTTAAATAAATTATAAATAATTACAATAGAGGTGAAAAGAATTTAATTAATTATATTTAGGTTGACTATACAAATACTGTAGGTAGTGAATTTGTCGTTTCTCATGATGTTTTTTTAACCATGTCGACTAAAGAGAGCCAAAAACGCACCTTAAAATGGATTATATTATTCCAATCGTTCGTATGATTTCTTGCCGTATTACCCAGTTCGTAGTACAATTTATTGTAATATATAAATGTATTTGTTATGTAAATTCAAAATCGAATGGAATATTTTAACATAATAATAATAATCTATCCAATCGTTTTGTCGGTGAACGGTCTTATCTCAGCCAGACTGGAACAACATCTCAGACGGTTGGGATTCCGAGGCGGCTCACTCTCGGGAAAGATGCAGAAAAGCGGTGCTCTTAGATACTTCCCGAATTATACATTAGTTTCTCTCCCTGGGGCCCTGAACCCCGGCACGACTGTGCTTCTGCCGGGGTTAGTTTGCCATCTCCTCTCCTTAAGTGTGAATTTTCTAAAAATTTAAAAAATAATAATAATCAATCTATTGAAACCTGAATTACATGCACTGAAATAAATTAATTCACTAGCCATCTTTGTCTGATGCCAATTAAATGTAAGAGATGGCTATAGTTAGTTAAGTTTTACAAATCAAATTAATTTAAGACTAATGTTGTTTTAAGTTCTAGTATTTTTTATCAGTCACATAATAGTTTAAATGTATTTCTAATAAATCTCTAGAATAGTTGCGTCGCGCGAGAGAGTATAAATAAGTGAATAATAATTTTAAAAAAGAAACTAAAGAACAGTGTCGGCGTGTAGCGGCGGGCGGCCATCCGGGCAGCGCTCCGCCGCCTACAACCGCCTGCGCTGTATGTCGCCAAACAAAACATAGGACGCTACTCGTATGTGATGCTATGTTATATTTATGTTATAATACGATACTGCGACTGCGCTCGCTTGTACTCGTTCACATTTCTCTGTAAATATGATGGTTATACTTTAAATAAATAAATGTATGGCAGACAATGTTGGTTTTAATTCTATCCACAGACTGCAACTACGGTCCAGCAAAATAGCCTTCTTTTCGGCTACATCTTAAGTTTGAATTTAAACGTCACAGAACATTATAACGCCCGTCAGTATGAGCAAGCTGTGTGTGTTCCAAGATACTTTTACGTAGCCGACTGTTATTTTTTATTTATACTACTGTGGTGGCAAACAAGCATACGGCCCGTTTGATGGTAAATGAAGTTACCGTAGCCTATGGACGCCTGTAACACTAGTGTTCAAAATTAACCTTTTTACATACATTGACAATTGTAGTGAACAGAAATAGATAACTTTGAAAGAAAATATTATGAAACATCAGCCATGTAATTAGAATTCTCAAATATCACGAAAGATAATACTTCAGACATGAACCCCGACATCCCTTCAATAAATCCAGTAAAACAAGTAGCCATACCACAACACATCCCAAGTGATAGCGGTGAGATAAGAGAGTGGAATAATTTCAAAAATTTGGTGACCACGTGGAGGTCGACCTGATAGGGTATATTGCTTGCAGTGTGACTGATAATCCGCATTACTAACAATCCCTCCCCCCCCCCTCCATGTGGATGTATCAGGCGGTGGAAAATAACCATTACCTCTACAGATAAATGCTAAAATATTCAAGAAACGAAATTCTAAGAGAACTTTTTGAACAGTGCAATGTATTTAGAGAAATTTTGATTTTTTATTTTTAGAATTTAGCTAATAGTTTTAATATTTGTTAACTCTGTACAAGTTTATAATGTACATGATGGCAGTAAACTATATGAACGAAGATGCGTAACAGAAAGAGAAGAAGAGGGAAAAGGCTTTGCTTCATTCATTTTGTGGTACATAGCAAAACAGAGTGTAAAAATACAACTTTGTGATAGGATAAAAATCCTGAATGTCATAATGATTTGGAGAAAAGATGATTGACGTTTGGGTAAATGTTAAAATTCGCAGCTGGCAACCCTAGTAGGTTGCATTTTTTACCTTTTACAATGTCCAATTGAAAAGAATGTATTCTTACCTCATCATCATCATCACAACACCCCATAACCGTCCATTGCTGAACATAAGTCCCCCCCCCCCATACAGGTTTTGCCTGTAGCTGCCATGCTTGATAGGAGGATTGCCGACCACAGTTTTGGTGATGTTTTAAGACGAACGCTAAAGCCTATTCCTCGACCATTAAGTTCCCTTAGTCGCCTCTTACAACACTGACAAGAAAGGAAGGTGTGACCTTTTTTATGTCAGTACCATTTAGCGAACTCTTTCCTCACATAGCATAAATAAAATTATAGTACAGAAAATGTCTTATTTAAGAGTTATTTATGTTTTGTTATATTTATTTTATTCAACTAGACTGGCAAACAAATTAACGGTCCACCTGATGTAAAGTGGTAACCGTCGCCTATAGACATGCGCAGTACCATGGACATAAAATATATTGTTTCGCCTATGATACCCTTCAAGCGTTGTCATTCCTGAGGACTCCGGTATTATATTTCTGTACACTGTAAATTCACTGCCATATCCCACTCTTGCAACCGAAACACAGCCATGCGAACACAACTGCTTCACGGTAGAAATACAAAGAGGACGTAGGTATCCAAGAGAACGACTTTATAGTAAATACTGTCGCTTAGTAATCTTGAGATTGAAATTGTATTACGTAGTGTTACCTACTATTTAAATAGATATAAGGCAACGTATTGCGAAAAACATATCGTAAATAATGCTTCACGCTTGATTATGCGCCATATCCTTTAAGTCTTATGTCGTTTCGTTTCTAATGACAGATATGTAATAAGTATTAGAAATGATTAGATGTCACTGTGATTTTTGTATTAAAATTTGATCCCATCGGGATTAGATACATACATACATACGACGATTATCACCTGTATGTTTTTTTTTATTGTTTTGTTGGTGTCAGTTTTGTTAATATGTAATCGATGACTTAAGAAAATGTTGTATACATCTGTAATTGTTGTAAATGAAAAATGCAAGCCCTGTATATCAATTAAAATTAATGTATGTATTTAGACTGTTGATGTATCTTTTAAAAAATAAATAAATAAATATATCATCGTCGTCATCAGATATATCAGGAATATTTAAATGAAAATAATTGTGCATTCCATTCATCATCATCACCATCACCATATCAGCCTGTCACTGTCTAGTGTTAAACATAAAGCCTCCCCCTTGGTGGAGACCTCCCCTGGTTTGCCAGTTGTTGCCGCGCTTGGCAGACGGACTGGTTAACAACCGCAACCGCAGTTAGGCTTTGGAGATGTTTTAAAAGAGACACTGCTACCCATTTCTTGACCGTTAAGTTCCCTCACTCGCTTCTTACATTACCCACGGAAAAAGAAGGGGTATTATTTTTATGACGGGATCACACGAGACTTACATAATAACATAGATTTGCCATGTTTCCCGTAAGCAACGTATATTAGTCTCCAATCTAAGGGAACTTGAGTTTTCTTTAAAAAAAGAAATATAGCATAGATTTAGAATGGATCCCTGTAATTTCATTGTCATATTCTTACCTTCAAATCCAAACACAGTCATAGCATCACAACTGCTTTATTGGCTATAGTAGAACAAGTTGATGACTCGTATAAAGTCTCCCTCTAGTAGCTAATGCACTAATTGTACCTGTTTCTATTTTTCTTAATTTTCATTTGGTAGTTAGTGTTCGCGGATGAACATTTTCATACATACATAGTACACATACAGTATTCTATAAGATTTGGATTTGTTATCATAATAACTAGGTTTTTAGTTCACCTGTCTTTGGCAAACGTAGGTATAGTTTATACCGTTCGCCATCTACCTTACTTACCTACGAAATATTCTGTACACGACTGGAGTACGTGATTTGGAGCAGCCAAACACTTCAGCAGAACGGGCGGTGGGCGAAGGGGGGAAGCGCTGAAACAATATGGCGGCTTATCGGCCGCCATCGCGTCACGTGCACCGCCCGTCCCGCGGCCCGCCCCACCCTTTATTAGCTTTTCACGGAAAATATTCGACGAAAAAAACAACTGATAAGATCGCGATGAGGTCGAGCGGCGCCCATCAATAATCCGTCGATGTGTCGCGTATCAGATCCGAAGGGGATTACTGACGTGGCGGCAGCGGCGAGCGAACGCACCTCGCCACCTAACATAATGCTCCCAAATCCTCCACTCCACACGCGGCCCCCAGTCCTGTCACAAGTCACTGAACCCAACCTCATGGGCCACTGCACTGTATGAGAGTATCACTGTATTGTCACACGGCAGGTAGCACAAGCTCGCGCTTGAAGTATTACACTCGGCGAGATCATTAAACATCTTCGATGAGTCCGAGATACAATATAGTGGCGCGGTGATCTCGCGCGGTGGGTGCGCGGGCGCTGTGTCGAACGGTAATGAGCCGGCGGAACAGATACGCGCTCTCGTAATCAAATCTGTAGGCCTTCTATCTGATAATTACTCCATATCGGGGATGGTATCGCGATATCTTAGGTCCCACAGATACGCGGCGTTAAGCGTTCACCAGCTCGCGTCCAGGGTGCAGCAGGGCCGGGCGGCGGGCAACGGGGGAGGGGAGGCCGGCATCGTTCCCTACAAATATTTGCATAGCGCTCGTCGGCGGTGTTTGCTCGCGTTATCGCGTCATCGCGAACACACCCAGCCGACTCCCCTCACTTGCACAACTATACGCGGCGCTTATGTCAGGACATGACCCGTAATCGTTCCAGTGTGCGGAGCGTCTATTGGGGACAATGTTTCTGTTCGTCAAAGACAGGATATGAGCGTGATATTCCTGATGGATTGATTCGATTGCCTCGTTATCTTTCAGTTTCAGCGTTCAATCGATACAACATGCGACCATGTCATATGGACATGATACTTAAGATATATTTCAAGATAAATAAGTACCTTCGTACCTAGGTAGGTATGTATTTACTTTATGCATATAAGTATATATAATAAAAATAAAATTTAATTTTTTATTCGATAATTTAAGATTGGGTTTCACAAAAAAAGAACCAGCCTCAAATGTGACAAAACCAGTTGTTTTGATTGAAAAATTAAATTGAATACTGAATAAATTTTGATAAAGTTTCTATAGGGATAATCTGAAAGTGTATCCTTTCAGATAAAAAAAAATAACTCTCCAACTGATGGAGTTATGAGATTACCAGAGGGAGACTTTGTACAAAAGTCGATTGCTTGGGTACCTCTATCCCATTTGTGTTTCAACCGTGAAGCAGTTGTGTTTGCATGGCTGTGTTTCGGTTTGAAGGGTGGGATATGGCGTGAATTTACTGGGTACAGAGAAATAACACCTGAGTCTTCAGGAATGGCAACGCATAGGGAGTATCATGGGCGAGACAATATACTCTGTTATGTCCGTGGTACTGCTCATGTCTATAGGCGACGGTTACCACTTTCCATCAGGTGGACCGTCAGCTTGTTTGCCATTCTAAGTTGTAAAATAAATAAATAAATGTATAAATAATAAATATAAAAAATAAACACCATTTTTGTACAAAAGTCATTTGCTTAGGTAGCTCTGTCTCATTCGTGTTTGTACCGTCAAGCAGTTGTGTTTACATGGCTGTGTTTTCAGTTTGAAGGATGGGATATGGCGTGAATTTACAGGGTACAGAGGAATAACACCTGAGTTCTCAGGAATGGCAACGCATAGGGGGTATCATGGGCGAGACAATATACTCTGTTATGTGATGGTACTGCTCATGTCTATAGGCGACGGATACCACTTTCCATCAGGTGGGCAGTCAGATTGTTTGCCATTCTAGTTTGTATAAAAATAACCTCCTTTTTTGAAGTCGGTTGAAAATAAACTAAGAATTTGCAGTAGCACAGTAAAAACTACTAAGGAACAAATAAGACTGTGCCACTTCGACAAACATTCATTACAGTTACCTAAGAAGTAGGTACAATTATGCGAGTATGTTAATAATATAA